CTAATGTTAGATTCTCTACTATTCTTCTGTATATCTATTTCAGGTTGTTTATTTCGAAGAAAAAAGAAAACATGCAAAAAAATAAAATTAACTCATTGTTTTCCATCGACTTGGTTGTGTTTTTGTTTTGATGATAAAAGAATATTGACTGTTTCTAAGGTAGCTTTCATCATGGTTTAATTAAGCATTCGATATTCTTTTAGTAATTAGAATGTTTAGCTCACAAAGTGAGTGTCTCTAAAGATTATCCTAGAAACTGCTGAGATAATCAATCATTTTCCTTCATTTTAAAAATAACTACTTTCTTAACCGAAGTACTGAAAGCTGATTGGCTATTTCAGCAGTTGCTAGCGTCGTCTTTAAAGTCACTCTACAAAGTCAATGATATTGACATCGGTCACGACTTGTCATTGGAACTTCGGGAATACTTCTCGAAGCTAGTCACCAATGAGCATCAGTTCAATTAAATTTTTTGAGGGGGTTGTGGAGATTTGGAAATATTTCAAGTTGTTATTCATCGTACACTGACATCAGTTGGAGGAACAAAGGAAACCTGGGAGCACTGGACAGCTGTTTCGTCCTAGTATGGGACTCCTCAGCGGTGCGCACCCACGACCCCACCAGCAGGGATCGAACCCGCGAACTTCAGGTTCCGCGACCAGCGCGTTACCATTGAGCCACTCCTTGAACCCCCTCGAAAAATTTAATTGAACTGGTGCTCATTGGTGACTAGCTTCGAGAAGTATTCCCGAAGTTCCAGTGACAAGTCGTGACCGGTGGAGTCAAAGCCTGATGGCCGTGAAGACAGATACTCAACGATGACATTGGGTGGCGGTTGAGCTATATATCGTGAGCTAACAGAAGTTGGAAATATGGAGCATTGCATTGTGACCCAGTGGCTCAATGGTAACGCGCTGGTCGCGGAACCTGAAGTTCGCGGGTTCGATCCCTGCTGGTGGGGTCGTGGGTGCGCACCGCTGAGGAGTCCCATACTAGGACGAAACAGCTGTCCAGTGCTCCCAGGTTTCCTTTGTTCCTCCAACTGATGTCAGTGTACGATGAATAACAACTTGAAATATTTCCAAATCTCCACAACCCCCTCAAAAAATTTAATTGAACTGATGCTCATTGGTGACTAGCTTCGAGAAGTATTCCCGAAGTTCCAATGACAAGTCGTGACCGGTGGAGTCAAAGCCTGATGGCCGTGAGGACAGATACTCAACGATATTGACATCACCAAAAACACTGGTGATATATGCGTTACATTGAAAGTCATTTGTTAGGAATGTTCATCGCCAAAACTAGAAGGCATATTGCGAACAATATTATTCCCCATTAGCTCTGATCAGGCTTGACTCTAAAATGCCATAAATTTTCTCATGCCTAAAACATTGAACTGATCATAATGAATTCTTGAGTCTATGATAGCAAAGAAACGAAGTTTTCAAATGGTTAATGCTGGGTGATGACTGAAAGTGAAATGAAAGTCTGGATTCGTTACATCGACTATCAAGTTATCCACTCGGTGCTCTACCACCTCCGCTAAGAGACCCAAAAGTTGCTGACCAGATTTTAATTTCCTTTCAAGCACCAAATTTTTGGCCGAACTGCCATGTGAATTCGTGACACATTACTATCGCTAAAACGCAGTCTCCAACTCAAGCAGATTTGGATTGGGGTGAGAAGTCCTGACTGGGTAGCCAGTGTAAATACGATCAACGAATTCACACGACACTTGGGCAAAATCCTTGGTGATCGAAGTGAAATTAATTAAGATCTGATCACCAGCTACTGGATCATGCAGCTCAGTTGGTAGAGCACTGTATTGATAACCCGAAGGTTGGTAGTTCGAATCCTATCGCGGTTCAGATTTTCATTTCATCTTCGATCATCACCCAGAACAATTAGATTGTCCAAGTTTGTGTCTGACAGTGTATATGTATGTAAACATGTCAATTGCGATGATAAGTTGAGTGTAAACTGTAAGTGTCAATCGATTGATGATCAGACTTATTGAGTGAATGTTTACAGCATAGGGAAGACAAATTAATAATTACTGTTCAAGGTTGCACATTGTGTCGAGTGAGTGACTAGCACAGAGAATGTTGACATGAATTTATCGGAAGAGTGGATTGAAATAGAATGGGTTATTCATCATAAAATGGTAAAAATATGAAACAATTAAGACACGAGAATATCTACCGGGTTAGTTTGTAAAGGATGATATCACATCATTGAGAAGTTCAACGCTGACACATCTGGTAAACACAAGTTACCAAACAGATGCTAGCACAACTTTTATTGTAGTAGATTATGTTTCAAAGACTGTACTTTCTGCTATTCGTTTATGCATTCCGCACATAGGAGAAGATGTAGCTATAAAATCAACTGAGCATGGATTTTGTATTCAAAGATAACATCCAAGCCCTACTCCTCCTTTGGCGTCCCATTGACTAAGCAGTATTCCCTCTAAATTTAGTATTTTTTTTCTTAATCTTTCTTTGCTTCTATTGATGTATTCATCTTGGTGACTGATGGAGGAATCCAAAACGTGCATTTCGTTCTATGTAGGAATCGTCAGCTGGATGTACCTGCACCCCGGTGAGATTCGAACCCAGTACCCATCGCTTCAAAGGCTAAAGCATTATCCACTAAGCCCTGAAGCACGTGAGGCTCATCATATGTATGCTGCATCGTAGTCTGAGCATTTTTACTTTATTAGCACAATTAGGGGAATTTTATCCTTCGTATGGACACACGTGTTCTACAATGTGTTTAATTCTTCTGTAGAACACTCTGATATTGCATTCGTTGAGCGCTCCCCTAATTTTAAGAGCATCACATTCCAACGTGGCGTCTAAACGTTCAAGAAACCAGTGACCTGTTAGAACAAGCATATACTAACGTCTGCTGACCATTTTAAGTGAATCAAGTTGACAGATTGATTAGATAAAGGTAATAGTGTATGCACAAGTAATTCCTTTTATCCGGAAACTGGCGTCTGATAAAGCAACTTACGTTTCCTGAACAGGTAGAATGTTTGAAAGAAAGACTTCGCCATGTTGAAACCTCCATTCTACAATATTTACTAATGGTCTTTACATCTGTAGATGAAAACATGCATCAAGGTCAGTCCACGAACATTTGAAGTAGGTTAATCAAATATCTACCATGAAAAGAAGTTTCACTACTTGATCGAAAAACTTTTCTGCCTTCATTCTTGGATAAGACCAACCCTATGATGATAGTAATCCTGGTGGTGATGCACTGAAGTGTCTCTGAATGCGTATTGTAAATGGATACCGATTACTTACAGCCTTCTGATTCTCTTATTACTGAACTATGGTGTTGTGTAAACTGAGGAGCTCAAGGAATTGAGACATACCCACTCCTGTAGCTCAAACTTCCCCATAAACCAATCAGTGTCAGTAAAGACCAAACAACTTTTTGTGTACTGTTAAGTATGCAATAACATCTTGGTGGCTACTCTGACCATTTCCATCTTCTGTTGGATGCAATATCATATCAGAATGTGAAGATTAGTGAAGGGAATAAGAATAGGCAAAATTCTGACATAAACCTACTGTTAACTAATGCCAGTCAATGAGAACATGTGACTTGTAGTTCATTTTATTCGGTGAAGCGTTGGGCATTCAGTAAATAAATGAGACAGTTCCACTCACTATACATACCTATACCCATGTGACAGATGGTTTTAAGAACAAGCAAATATTGTATGTTGACGGCTGTTAGTACTTTTACAGACTTTGGATGCCAACACAGTAACTGGATGATCCCATGCTTGTCTTTTGACCTAACAATCCTGGGCCGGATTCTTAGCAAGATCACTACTGAATCCCAGTGTACGATGAAATAATTATTCTATGCTTCAAGCAGTTCACACCCAAGACCCAATGAGGAGTCAAACTCAGGACAGTAAGATCTCACAGTAATCATATTACCGTCCAGAGTTTGGGTTGGAATACAATGGTCCACTATTTCCTACTTCTGTCAATCTGTGACATAGTGTGCCATCATCCAAAGCCATCTGTGAGTATTTGTCGACGTGAGTAACTTGGCCGACCACACAGTTGATGACTTCTCATAAGAACTTCTAGAAACCTATCTTGAAGTAAGTCACTGATAAACAGTTGAAAATAATTCAATTAGTGGTTGTTAGGGATTTCCGGTTCTTCAAATGATGTCAGTTTGTGAGAAAAACTACTTTCAAATCGCAAAGTCCCTATATTTCATCAGAAATCAACACACTGAAATACAACCAATTAAGTCAATACTGCTTGTTTTCCCTCACAAGTTTATTCTAGTTATCTCTTTCGAGATACACAAAACCCAAATTGAAATCTACTCAGCAACCTTGTGTACAATTGTGCAGCAGGCAATAAACCAGCTGGCTGCCCAAACATCGGTGAGTGGGACGGTGTTGGAACCTGGAACCCAACTGGTTGAAAATTAAGGTAAGAAGCTATCAGGATTCTCACTAAACACATGAATTAGGAAATAACCGGTCACACTAATTTAATTTGAGTCAAGATATACTGACTGGTTATCTTATTGTGAGTTCAAGAAGCGTGTTTCGTCCTATTTGAGACTCGTCAACTAGCCACCAAGCAAACTATAATGTAATGAATATTCGGGCAGTATTGAGGCATCCACTTAAAGGCTATCTGCTAACAGATGCTGAGAAATTTGACCCAGTATAGTAACAGAAAACTATTAGTATCAAATAATATCTGATACTCATTACACAGGAAGTGACTGTGGTGCCCTAGTGGATGATACTGTTGTATTTAAAACGGTCGCTAATGTGCTCCAGTCTCAACGGGAACACCATCACTCACTGGGATGCAGGTACCTCCAGCTTGTAAGTCCGAAATGGGACGAAACGTGCAGACTATAAGTATAATCTAATCTAACCCTAAATAATAAATGGTGAGTATTAAATGTTGACAAACAACAATTTCACACACATACCAACTTACAATGTCCTTATATGGATTAGATTCACACGAGCTATTGCTTTCTGAGTATGGAAATTTGTTTGCATCTTTTCCACATTTATTATCATTAAAACCACATCCTCCAGGAGGTGGTTGTGATGGTCCAGTGGCATAGTTCCCTCCAAAACTAGGAGCTCCTGGAACATACTGAGATTGTCCTGTAGTCGGATCTGTAAAATTCGTTGGGAAACATGAGTCTGGTTTAGAATATCCATGAGGTGGAAATTGTGGAGGAGGAAAGCCACATGGATACGAACTTGGATAACCTCCTGGTACTGGAAATTGTGGGTATTGGCCCGGAAAACCACCTGACCCACCTCCTGGATATCCTGGTACACCTTGTGGAAAGCCTTGACCTCCACCTGAACAGGTGGAATTCGTGTCAGGCAGGGAATCATCTATACCTTTCAAATTCCATGCTGACAAATCATCGAAATTGGGATTCATTTCGCAGTTCAGATGAATAAAAGTAATTTGTATATGTAACCCAATCGGTACATGTTATATGCTTTATGCATTTATAGATCATTCAGTAGTCCAAGGTCGATTGCTTATAGTAATCCGAATGCGTAGGTGGACAGTTGACTGAATTAACAAATCGTAGCCTAAAATATTCCACCTAATTTGCTATTGGCTAGTTTAGGTAATTCTATCTTTCTAAATTAAGTTACTTTTATTGCAGTAGTGTAAATGATTTTTCGAATATTTGGAAGTTATTTTCGGCATTTCTGTCGAGTAAATCGATATTGTACAAGTTCATATGGTCAAAATAATCTAATTTTATGGTTTATATAACTAAAAGAATGGGAGTTTACTGGTAATAGTCGTGCTATATCGTGAATTGACTGAAGTTGGAAACTATGACCCACTGAACTCTGGCTCAGTGGCTGAATGGTCACCAAGTTCACCGTGAAACATGAAGGTCCTGAATTCAATCCCTAGCCATGTCGTGGGTGCATACTGCTGAGGAGTCCCATAAAAAGACAAAGCAGCTATCCAGTGCTCTTAGGTTTTCAATGGTTCTCTAGCTGACGTCATTCCGTGTTGAATACTACCTCAAAATGTCAGTATGACAGGATAAAATTACCTCACCCATTCCATTGGCTCACTTTCAAATTTCCCCTCAAACGGTTCTGATTATCACAGTCTCCATGAGTCTATTTTCTACCTAAAGGTTTAATCCGTTACTCTAGTTAGTTTTCGACCTTTAAATTCTATTTTGAAATAATGTTGACGCATGTATCCTTCAACCTCATCCATAGCTGATTTATTTCATGTGACGATAAGTAAACTTAACTGTGGTTTTTATCGAACTAACTGGTGCCACAATGTTGTCCCAAAACGATATTAGTAGTCTCCTCCCAGAGGTGTGAATGACTGGAACGTCTTACAGCACTCTCCTCATTCTGAACATTCCACTGACTAGCATAATAAAGAATTAAGGAACTACTAAAAATGAAGGTGCCTCACACTGATTGGTCACTGGAAAACAAGCGACCAATTACATGTTGTCTACTCCTGAGTGTTAACCAAATTCTATAGACTGTTTTGCAATATGGTCAGGCCTAGAGACTCAGTACCGCGATGCACTGACATAGATGTTAGCTGGTTGGATGAAGTCGGCAGGAAGCCCCACTTGACCTCAGTTTTGTGCTTCTTTACGCTCGTCAGGAAGGTGTATCCGCAACCTCGAGGGATCGGGATCCGAATCCGTGTCACACAGTTTTGTCTTACTGATGAGTGCTAACAAGAACGAAACCCAAGTTCAGGGCTTCGCGCCGATTAGCTCCAGTCAACTGACAATCAAGTTTTCCTTCAGATTGTCAACTTTTAGATCTGTAACTTATTTCTTCTATATGGTAGGGAAGGGAAAGTTCAGTTCCCATAAATGTTTTTTCTTTATTAACTGAAGGAAAGCTATCAGTACATTCGAAGTGACTGATTCTCTTGCTGTCATCTTCTCACATAAAGTCTTTTGAAGTCCTTTTCAAACTAGTCTTTTACCGTTTTCAAGGTGAACAGAATCGTTAGTCAATGAGGTAACCACACTTTTACTGTTTTCCAAGCATTTCTTGGTTTCCTTGTCACCTAAACGTCACCAGCTAATGCAGCGTCTTCTATTTGAGCACGAATGCATGAAAAAGGTGTACACAACAAGCCGTGGAGCCTTAGTAACAGAGAAGACCCTAAAGAATCCGGTGTCTACCATTACTTCCTTAGAAGGGGAGGCAGAGGGTCCTCGGTCTAAGTTATTCCACTGTAGTCAGTCAAATTCCACACTCATAGTTTGACTAATACCGACCCCCCTCTTACCTCGGTTAGTAAAGTGATGTCCAGGCAGTTCAGGCCCTATTGCCTGTCCGCGTGGTTAGCAGAAAATTAACCTGGTTTAGGAGTCAGTTGGTGACTAATTCCGAAGACCCATTCTCCAACCAAGAGAGATGATACAAACTTCATCACTTAAAACTTTCGATAGCGACCCCTGGTGCAGTCATCAGAGTGGACGTCATCATTGACCCGCAACCCATGTCGGAGATGTAGGCAAGCATGCCAGCCAACTTGGTCATAATAGTCTCGGCATATCACTAAGGGGAGGTAGCAGATATATAGCCTGCAGCCTTCATCAAACCTAGTATGCATCTTAAGATTCACATTCTGTCGTCACCCATGACATATCAAACAGCATAAAATCATAAGACACACCTCGAGCTTACAGATTCGGTATGCTGGAAGGCATATTTACTTCTGATTAGCTTCACCATTACCGGCGCTGAAGTGGGTTTCTTCACTTCAAAACCCTGGAGCTAGATGTGGCGATTTGACGCTGAGTTGGTTAGTAGGCTGAATCTGCTTATCAGCGGAAACTATGAGAAAGTCTGCCGTCGCGTAACTAGACTTCGCCGTCTCATAAACACCTGAGTCATGTAATATGGCTTAAAAGTGCGTCGGCTATCCACCTGAAGCTAACCATGTTGTGCAGTTGACCACGCATTTAACCAACGGCCAAACCATCGACGTCACTAATTAGTTGGTAGTGTTCAATCAGTTGTCACTGGAAGTCATAGTTACTCTCATCAAATTGAAATGAAATGCAATAGTCCACATCTCTGGTCACTTTAATATTCATTCCACACAACTTCAAGATTCTTTTTAATTACACTTTGCGAAGAAAACTGTAGGATGAAATCAGTGATATTTAGAATTTTCTACTGGTAGTTCCATTCTAGGTTTATGATATTCCATGTAGTCATTATATGTTAAGTGTTTGTTTTCTCTTATTGGTCTAATTTCTTCTTCTATATTCACACAAGGCACTAGATAATGTAATGGGTCTGGTATACGCATTTATTATTATTATTATTAGTCCCTTGGGTTCCTAGTGGAACATAGGGCTTCAGTAGCACGCCTCCAGCACACTCTGTTCTCTGAGATCTTTTGAACCTGGTTCCACGACAGCCCAGGAGCTCTCATTTCCTCCTCGCACGATCTCCTCCATGTCACCCTCGCCTCGGATGTCCAACTCGTCGCTTCCCATGGGGATTCCACTCGAGTAACTGGCCTGACGCTTGATGTCCTCAGTCGGCCTTCTCAGTGCATGGCCAATCCATCTCCACTTCTTCCTGCATATTTGTTGCGTGATAGGTTCTTGGTTGGTTCGTTCCCAGAGCTCCTTGTTGCTTATTTTTTCTGGCCATCTGATCTTCAGCAGCGAGCGTAAGCAGTTGTTGATGAATGTCTGTAGTTTATTGGAAATGCCTTTCGTGACGCGCCAAGTCTCTGAACCATAGAAGAGCACTGATTTGACGTTGGTGTTGAAAATCCGTATCTTGTTCCGCATGCTGAGTGTAGTGCAGAAGATCTCCACACTGGTTTCAGGCTAATGAATGCCTGTCTTGCTTTTCCGATCCTGGCTGACTTTGACATCCTCGTCTGTGCCTGTGCCGCCTGTAGTTGAAACAGTGCTTCCTAGATAAGTTAAGGAGGTTACTTCCTTTAAGTTTCTCCGGTTGATGGTGACTGGAGTTTGTTGTTGTTGATGATGGTGGTGGTGCGGTATCTTCATCACTTCTGTCTTCTCTATATTCACCTGAAGTCCCGTCTTCGATGCCCTGCCTCTTATGCCAACTTGTTAGTTTTTGCCTGCAGATCTTCAAGTTTATGTGACATTAGGCACAAGTCATCGGCGAAATCCAAGTCTTCTAGGTTCTTTTCCGCAGTCCAGCCAGCGTATCCCCCTCTTCTCACAGCTCCCCACTGTTTGCTGCATGATCCAGTCCACCACAATCAGGAATATTATGGTTGATAGTAGGCAACCTTGTTTCACTTCTGTCTTCACTTCACTTCGAAGGCATCACTCAGCTTCCCATTGTGAATTACTTGGCATGTGGCATCTTCATATAGTTGTTGAATGAGGCTGATAAAGGTTTGCGGTACTCCGTAGTATTGAAGCAGTTTCCAAATTACCTCTCGGTCGACGCTGTCAAAGGCCTTCTCAAAGTCTATGAAGTTGAGGTATAGAGCTGATTGCCATTCTATACTCTGTTCTATGATGATGCGAAGCGTCGCGTTGCAATTTGGTCTGCACATGATTTGTACTTCCTGAAGCCTGCCTGTTCGGGTCGTAGTTTTGAATCCAGTGCATCCTTAAGCCTCTCTAGGATGATGCGGCTTAATATTTTACTTGGGGTGGACAGGAGAGTGATTCCGCACCAGTTCTTGCAAACACTGAGGTCTCCCTTCTTCGGCAGATTGACAAGGTAACCCTTCTTACAATCACTAGCCAGGTACCTTCTCTTCCCTCCACACCTTCTGCAATAGTGGTGTGGTGTGAGCATGTCCGCTGTTGTCTCTGCATCTGTTCTCAGTGCTTCTGGTGGAATCCCATCTGGTCCTGCTGCTTTCCCACATTTCAGTAGCTTTATGGCGTTCACGACTTCCATTTTCGTTGGAGGATTTATGTTCACTTGTAATTCAGCGGCTGCAGGTGGTATTTCTGGACGAAGTGCAGGTGGTGGTGGTGGTCGATTCAAGAGCTTCTTCAAGTGGTCGGCCCATCGTTTCTTTTCTTTCTCTTCTTTCGTAATTAAATTTCCTTCTTCATCTTTTATTGGTTTCATCTGTGTTGGTCTCTTGCCTGATAGCAACCTGGTTATTTGATACAATGTCGTCAGGTCTCTCTTACCTGCAGCCTGTTCTGCTTCACTTGCCAGTGTTTCGTAGAAGTGTCTTTTGTCTTTGCGTGCACTCTTCTTCACTTCTTTATCCAGTGTTTTATACATTGTGCTCAGTTCCTCTTGTCGTTGAGCATCCTTGCACTGGTTTATCTTCTGCTTCACCATCCTCCTCTCCTCTATCAGCTTCCAGGTATCCGTCGAGATCCATTCCTTGTCTTCCACCTTCTTCCTTCCTAATACTGTTGTGCAGGTTTCTTTCCACATAGCTTTCAA